TCCTGCCTCCATAAATAGTGCATGATGGCAGTGATACTTTTGTGCGGTCTAATTTGTTTCAATAATTAATGTCACCGGTACATGTTTCTAAGCGTACTAAGGGGAGATAATTTACTGTAATTACCAAAGGGGAAGTATATTATTTATTTATGATGTGTATCTACACACTTAGGGTGTGCGTGTATGTGTGTGTGTGTGTGTGTGTGTGTATATATACTTTTTCCATGAGTCGTCATGAAAATAGCCTCAGGTCCCTAAAAGTAAGAACAGTGGGTGACCCCTGAGAAAACTGCATGCAGGCCCCTCCCTGACTGCCTTGTGCAGCACCAAAGAGGAGATTCCACGTCCACATCCACCCCAAGGCCGATTGCCACAAGGCAGACGTCGGACATGCCTCCCGCCCCGTTGTTATCTCCCTGGGACGCCAACGGCTCGTCCAGTGACTCTTCTCGTCTTCTGAAGTCAGTAGTTCAGTGCGATGGCCACAGCGAACGCCTAGAAAACTCTCACAGGGGCCGGGGTTTACTTGGGAAGCTAACCGGTTCTCACAGTCAGGAACAGTAAACAGTAAGGACACAGTGATTGTCTACAGCCAGTCTCTGTGGTCTCTGGCCCTTCGCCTCTCAGCCACTCGGTCCCTTGGCTTTTGCCACTGTGAGCCAGCAAACCTGCCCGCTGCTCCACTTCACCGTCACAGGATCGCAGGGGTCAAGCCCTCGGCTCTGTTGCAGCCTCTGCCACTTGAGGTAGCGACCTTGAACATGCTCTTGGTGTTTCCTTAACAGTCCTGGGAGTCTCTCTTTTGGTTTCTGGGATGCCTCATTCTTATAAATTGTGCTCCTGTTTCACACACCCTATTTGCATAATCCCACCCAATCATTTGGGTGGGAGTTACAGAGACATGGGTAGAAGGGCCTCATTTTTATTTCACCACAACCCCAGAATACGCCAGTAAATAAGGAATATAAAGGTCGGGGCTGGGGTTTAGCAGCACTTCCTACTCTTTAGCAGCTTGCCCTATGTCTAATACTAAATGGTTGGGATTTCTAATGGCCAGTAGAAATCACTGGTAAAGGAGACCAGACTGGGACCAGCACCTCATTTTTCAGAAGCCCCTATCCAAATGGGGAGACTTTCTGAAGTTGTTTATTGCTACTTTGATGGTAGAACTTTAATTTTGAGAACTATTAGCACCATTAAAACATGCTTCACCGCCTTTAATGTAAATGCCTTGCTGTTGAGAAGGCTAATGGAAGGCTTTTGACCCCTCTTGTATTTAAAGAGCCCTGGTGGCATAGGGGGTGCTAAGTTGTTAACTGTTGATACCACCCAGGGACCCTGAGGATACACTGTAAAAGTCATTGTGTTGAGTTGATTTAACTTAATTGCCTGGCCTTTCTTCTGAGGTCATGTTAGATCGCTCTGGAGCTAGATTTATACCTCGGTCCTTGGCTCCGCGCGAGAAAGAATTCACGCCGAAGCCTGGTTCGTGATCGAAGTGAGTTTTATGAAAGTTAGAAGAAGTTTCAGGTTTACACGGCACCCAAGGGGCTCCTCCCGGACATGCAGCCTAGCTTGAAGCGGCTCTGCGTCCCGCAAAGCGTGCCAAAGCTCCCTGCGCCTGAGTTCTCTCTCTTCCCGTCTGAGTTCTTCTCCCGTCTCGGTTCTTGTTCTCCCTCCCCTCCGGGCTTCTGCCTTTTCAAGGATTCCACAGGGAGGCGTGGTGGAAGACCCCTGGTCGACCCCATTGGCTGAATTGAATTTACCTGGCTAGGTGATCCAATTCAAGTTCACGCCCACCCCTGCCTACCGGGGGCGGAACCCTAAACATGTGCGGTGTGCCACTCCTTTGTTTCCCTAGCTTGACTCTCTGGGCACGCGTTACTGGACACCCCCCAGTCCTATGCTGGCCTACCTAACAGTCATGCATAGGGGCCCTGTAGACCAGAGGAGCATGGGCCCCTAGGCTGTCATCATTCTGGAAGCGGAGAACCACACCTGTGCCATGGCGCAGTTGATGGGTTCAAACCACATTCTGCTTGGTACTTAACACCGCCCTACTTCCTGCTCCTGTAGGAGTCTACCTTCAGCACTGCTCTGGCTGCTTAGTGGGCCCTTTGACCCTGGAAGTGGAGGTGTGCAGCTCCGGCAAAGTATCTTCAATTATTTCTCAGATTTAACGACCTTTTTTACTATTTTATTTTCTAGAACTTCTGTTTTTGGTAGTGGAAGGAGAAATTTGGGCCTTCTCTCCTGAACTACTCCTTTGCTTTCAAACCTGTTCTCTGCGACTTTTTTTGTCTCTCTCCTGATTTCTAGGACATTTCACGGGGAAGTCTCAATGGTCAGGGCAGACTTCCCAGAGAGGACTCTCCCCGTTTTCTGCCTGGAAGCTTTTTCCCTAGCCACTGTGTTCTGGGAGACCTGTAGGGGCAGAAGGCAGGGGTCTGCACATTCAGTATGTACATTTTCATTTCCTCCTCTCCCCATTGTCAGTATGAACCTCGCCCTTCAACTCTGCCATAATCCCCACCCAGTGATGCCCTTCCAAGAATGCATCTCGAGGACCTAATGTCGGGGGTTTAAATGGAGAGAAAATGTTTTGAGAAACGATGTACAAATGCACTTTACACAATTGATGTGTGTATGGATTGGGATAACAGTTGTATGAGCCCCTAATAAAATGTTAAAAAAAAAAAAAAAAGAATGCATCTCTATTCTTTTGCAAAGTTGGGGTATTTTTTGGTGGTGGTGGGGCATTATTTGGCTAATGATAATTCCCTAAGGGATTACAGGAGTCATATTTTAAAATGGACCCTCAACTGTTTCTCCCTTTCCTGTAGTGATGTCTTTTCTCTTGTTCTCTCTCTCTCTCTTTCTCTCTCCTCTCTTTGTGTGTGTGTGTGTGTAACACACTTGACTGTCATTTTACAGGAGTTACAAGTAAGGACCAGATTTTTAGTGGAACAAAAATTGAGATTGATTTTTTTTTTTTTTTTAGTTTTTTTAATGTTTGCCAATTTGGCAATAACTTTGATCAGATTTGGAACATTCTTAGTCATTATCTCTTCAAGTAGTGTCTGCCTTATTCTCTTTCTTTGATATTTCTGGAAGTCCTATTACATGCATGTTAAACTTTTCATTGCACCCCCTCCCCCCATTTCATATTGCTTTCTTGATTTCTCTTTTTTTTAAACAAGAAAATCCTTCATTATATATTTCCCATTCACCTGTTCCAATTTACATTTGTGTTTTGTGTTGAGTTTGGTTATAACTGATAATGTATTTAAAACTAAACACATGGCCATTTAGTTCCTTTTTATTTGTATTCTAGTACTTTGGTAAATTTTCCTCCTTCATACTATTTTCTCTATTTTTCTAGCCGTGTGAATCATACTTATTATCAAGTTATTATAGTCTACACCCAGGTCTAGATGAACTCTAGTCTGCTGATAATGTCTAGGGTTTTTTGTTTGTTTGTTTGTTTCTGGTCCAAATATGCTTAGCAATTTTTGATTGCTGACCATGATATGCTAAAAGATGCCGATACTCTCCTAGTGAATATAATCACCCAGAGAGTTCCCCCTGATTCTGACAGGCAAATAGGTTGATGGCTGATCATTTAAAACCAGTCAACATTTTGTTGGAGCGAGGCTGGTTCACAGCCGTCTGATTTATCCCTGACTCTCCAGTGTTCTTATTCATAATCCCAGGGTGATTCTCCTGTCTCTTCCCTCTATAATCTGCAACCTCTGAATCAGTTTCTCATGAAACGATCCCCCCAAAGCTAGACTCTGCTTTTCAGAAGGTTTCTGATTGTTTAGCTTCCTATTTTACCACATGTCTGGAGTTCCACAGATGGCCCCAGTGGACAACTGTACCACACTGAGGCCATCCAGACTCCCACCCAGATCTCCTCCTCTCTCCGTTCTCCTGGAGTGCCCCTGTGAGTAACCAGATTCCATCTGTCCTGGTAAATGACAATGCCCCCAGTTTTAAGATGTCAATAAAAAGTCTGTTCAGCTCTTGAAGGTCTTTCCCTCTCCTGCCCTTCTCCATGTGTCTGTTGCCCCGGAGGAGATGAGGTCTGTTTTGCCCGGCTTGGGGAAAGCATTAGTTTGCTGAAAGCTGCACAGCCCCCTCTTGGAAATCGGAAGTCATCGAGATGGAATTATTTTTGCCTTCACTTTGACTTTGGGAGAGAATTGTATGACAATTGCCAGATTAAGTTGAAAGCGTGTTGACATGCTTAAAATCATGGTTGAAAGTTTCTTTTGTGATATTTCTTTGGCCATGTTAACTGCCCAAGATGCTTTTTAAAGAGATTGAAATAATAACAATGTAGCGTGTGATTATTAACATACAGAGGATTTTTAAATTATGTACTTTGAATACTAGATGATTTGGTCTTATAGAGAACTACGGGTATGGAAGTATGCCATGCTTAATGACCACGACACCGTGTGTGAAATATGTCGCTAGGTGATTTGGACATTGTGTAAAGACCATATTAAGACCTTCTGGGTGCCCCCTTCTAGTTGCCTTTATCACTTCTGCTGCCACTGCTAGAGGAGCCTGGAGGAATGGGTGGCAGCAGCAGTGGCAGAAGCTGAGAAAGCAAGGAAAGCAGAGGGCATGCAGCCCCCATCGCTGTTCTGTCCTCCTGAGCAGCGGGAACAGTGACTGACCCCTGGAGCCAACCCGCCAGGCAGAGCCTGATAGCACATGCCAAGAGTGTTGCCCTATGCTTCCCCTGCCTGCATTCCACCTATAGTCCAATGCTACAGGACTATGAGGTCAGGGGTCTTTAAAAGGAGTAAGTGAAGTAATAAAGAGTGAATTGCTTTCCCGTAAAACAGAAACTCAAACCTCATGAACAAAAAATGCAATCAGATGCTCAGTGAATGGATGTTAAAATGATGCACACCTGTATTTTGTAGGTGCAGAGAAACCAGTGTCTGGTGTGGGTTGTTGATGGAATACACTGTTTTGTTTTTCAGCATCTAACATTCACAAGAGAATTTGACTCAGATTCTCTTAGACATTACAGCTGGGCTGCAGACACCTTGGACAACGTCAATCTTGTTTCAAGCCCTGTTCATTCTGGGTAAGTCACCAAAAGACCGCCTTCCCTTTTCTGTGGCGTCATCTTTGCACTTATGGCATAGCAGCTTTAAATTCATAATATCGCCGCTCTTCATATTGGTCTTCTAAAGGATTTCATTAGTGAATGTGTGACTTGTATTTATAATTCATCAGTAGATATGTTTTTTCTAAGCAAATGCTATCCACTTTAATTAAATAAAAGTACAGTGTTGGAAAGGAAATGAATTAAATTATTCATTGCAGCAGAATTGGCTTGGGTATTCTGGTACCTCTTGTAGGTTATACATTTTCCTTTTCAATTAAAAATATGTCATTTCTCTCGATTTTACTTTACTATGGAAATGAAGCTTTGTTTCTGGGCATCTGATCTTCCCTTCTGATGGGGATTTAAATGTAGAAGCTTGTCTGTTTATTGACCTGTTTGATGGCCTCAGTGCTTTGCTTCTACTACATCAATCTCATTCAGATATTTAGTTCAATAAGCGTTGAGCTCTGCTCTACTCATTGTTTCCATCTGGTATTGCCTTTGATTTTCAAGCTTTTGTGTTTTCATAAGAAGAAAATATAAACGTAAAGCCTCCACATCAACAGTTGGTACTTTTTGCTTTCTTGAAATCAAATTATACTTACATTGAATGAACAGTTAAGGGAAATTAGAGGAAATAAACAAATGTACTTTAGAAAAAGATACATATTTATATATTATATATATATTTAAAAGTTCACATATATATGTACTCAAAGTATGTATACATATACATACATACATATGTCCACATACAGAACGTGGGCATATATGTATGCACACACATAAAAATTCACCCATACATACATACAAATACATAGGTATCTATATATGCCAAAGTGTGACTATAGATAATTCAAACTGGGAATTTCTGATATCCAAACCAAAAAATAAGAATCTATAAAAATGAGGAATATCTCAGAATATTATTGTCTTTGAATTTAGCATTTGGAACATACATTAGTTGTGACCTATAACAAAACCTGTGCCCTTGAATCAATACCTGACTCAAAACCATATAAGATAGAGTAGAACCATTCCTTGGGGCTTGAGAGACTATAAATCGTTATGGGAGCAAAAAGCCTCGTCTTTCTTCTGTGGAGCAGCTGCTGGGTTTGCACCAGCAGCCCTGTGGCTAGCACCTCAGCCCTTAATAATTTGTTCTGGTCCATGACCAGAACCAGGGAAGATTCATTTAAAAATAAATTAACACTAACTAACATTTGTAATATGTCTTATATTTTGTTGAGTATTTCTTGCTTTTCTAATTAAAATAAATTGTGATAGCTAACCTGTACCTAATGCTTTTTGTGCAAATGGTATTACACTAAATCTTTTACACGCATTTTTTGCATAATATTTATTTGAACCTTAAAATGGCACTATTGATTGACATTACTCATTATCCCCAGCTCTGATGTCTGAGGCTCAGAGGTGTGTTAGAGGTTACTTTAAGTAACATTACAGAATGGAAATGTCTGACATCTTAAAACTGTGGAAACAAACCAGTGTAATTTCATTCAAATGGAGATAATTTACATGTACACTATATATGAAAGTATTACAAGGTACGTTAGTCAATGGAGGCGTTAAAGAAGTATAGAATACTAAAATCAGAAATTAATTTTCCCAACCATAAACGCAAACACAAAACATTGCCAACGAGTTGACTCCGACACAGAGCCAGGATCTCCAGGCTCCCAGGGCTGCATGCCTTTAGGAAGCAGATGGCCTCAACTTCCACCAGGAGCAGTCGGTGGCTTGACCTGCCAACCTTGTCGTTAGTTGTCCAACATTTACACAATAAAACCACCGAGATGAATACACTTACTCCTCACCACTGGACCTCTTACTGTCTGACAGTTCACATTCGCAACAACGGCATCTGACGGGTGTGTGCATGAACAACCCACCGGAAGGTAATGAGCACACCAAGATGCTAGGTGAGAGTGACATGCACCGTCGGTGATGTTTAAGGTGATGTGATTTTCCGTGGTCGGGTAGTTCCTTATGTGATGATCTAATCCGGCCGTTTCAAACGATGTAGTCATCTTCCATTTGTGGCCTGATTCAAGCATCCTCCATTTCCACATCACACCGCTTTTCACAAAATGAACTGGTCTTTGGAACCCAGTGATGTTTTAAGTGAGGAGAACTTGGACTAGAATCTGCCAACTGCCTCCCTTTACCTTTGAAATTTATTTGACAGCAGTCAACAAGTGCAACAAAGGCAGAACTGATGGTGGCAGCCAGCCTGGGCTTCTTTGAAAAGGAAAATACACACTTGCGATTCATTTAGCAACATCTCACTACAGCAGAGCTGTGGGGCACTTTGTACAGCCTTTTAAGGCCATTATTCTTCCAGGTGGTACTATAAATATCAGTGCCTTGGTTTCATTTTCTGAGGGTTTTTATTTTCCTTTGCTTATCATGACGTTTTCTGTTGCTTGCTTCTAATTATCTCACATTAATTTTTCCCATTTGCTTTCTAAATTATTTTGCAGCTATTCTTCTCCACTTCCTCAGTATGATTCAAGGTGATAACTGTCTTTTATGTGAACCATCCTTTTCGCAGTTTTAATTGATATGAATTTGTCCTGTGGTTAGATTGTGTCAGTGTCTGTAGTGTCTCAGCATTTGTCATCCCACTGTTCCTAAAACTAGAAACATTTATGTCTTAGTTTTAGGATCGTTTATAGATTGTGTGCTGTAGTTAAAATACAATTATTAACATACACATAGGATTAGCCATCCCTTTAATTTCTTTATTAGTAATGATGCATGACATTTTTTTTGCCCAGCGTGTATGTGGGTTTGGAAAATAAATCACGGTATTTCATAATACTATTGAATATTAAGTCTCAACATCCTGTTTAATATATCTGTATTTTGCTCCCACTTGCCCTCGATGTGTTGGCACTGCAGAGTTGAAAGCTCAGAAATTCAATGCTCATTAAAGAGCACCAGCTAGGTACTGGGTGTCCCACCACCACCGGGAAAGCGATTCTTTTAATTTGACATTACAAATGTTGTAGCTATACTGTTGTTCATAGCTTCAGTATTTTCATATTGCCACTGATAACCACCTCAGACTGCTCAGTAACAAACTGCATTAGTATGTTTTTTTCACATTAAAGATCCAGCATGACCTAAGTAGTCTGTAAGCACACTTAACAAAATTCACTCTTTCTTTGAGTTATTCAAGAAACATTTATGGTGTGCGCTGTGGGGTACCCTGCCATTTACGCAGTGAACAAACCAGGCCCGAGCCATGTTACTTTCCATATTGCTCAGAGATAGCTGCTGCCACGGGCCACCCCCCTCTCAGTGGGAACATGCCCGGGTTTGTTCATGCCAGTACACTGAATGCCACACCTACACTCTGAGTGGTTTCTAATGTGTGCTTTTACAATCAGTTCAAATCATCTATCAATTTTAATTATTAGCTGTTGGGAAAGTTCCAATTTTGTCTTAGTTTCCTTCTAATACTGCCTTGTTATGAGTAAAGGCAGTTGTTAATTATATAAACATGCATGTGTTCATATATAAACACATGCCTAAAAAAATGTAAGCACAAAGAATAAACTCAAGTTAGCCTACTGTGATCTAACATTGGAAACAATTACATTAGAGAGTTGTACAAGTGAACAGGTATTGTTGCCGATGACAAAGGAGTCTTTGTTGTTGTTGTTGTTGTTGAGTTTTGATAAGGGCAGCCTGTCCTCTGCTACTTTGAGTTACCATCATGGGCCAGTCCTAACTAATGAAGTAGAATAATCTCAAAGACACAAATTGATCCTAAGTAAATGGGTGGAAACTGAAAAGGAGCAAAAGAGGGTGTGGTTGTCGGTGTCTGCCTTACCGATGGCCAGAACAAATTCTGAAAATCTGATCCCTATCCCATTACCTGCCTTACTGAAGGGTCAATTCTTCCAAGATCTTGGTTCGAAAGGCTTCATCCTTCAGAAAAGGGTCCCTAGCTAGGATTTTCATGCAAGTTCATAAAATCTGTTTGCAGGCTGTAAGCACTGTTTTTAGATTGGTCAATAGTAGGGTATTTTGATGCACTGGGATTATAATTTCTCCAAAAACATTTTGGAGAATAAATGTTTCCAAATGCATCCAAAGAAATGTTTAAGCAACATTTGATGATATTCCAATCATAATCATATATTTAAATAGGAAAATTGGAATGCAAAGATATGTGCAGAGAGGACGCTTGCTCTGACTGGCACTCATGTGTTGGGCTCATTGATACCTGTTCACCTACTTTGTAATATTGTGATGATGGCAAGAATACTCATGTGGGAGGGGGGAAGAGGGGTTCCTATGAGAACACGATCCAAATCAGAAATTCCAGAATGCTGTTATCCAGATGTGACAACTTCCTCATATTCTGTATCTACTTGCACATCATTTTTTACTCATTAACTTTAATATAAAGATTGAGTGCAGAATTATATAATTTGGAGATATTCCCTGAAAAGTTTAAGTACCATTATTTGTATTATTGTACAAATATTCAAGGATTATTTAAAGGAATTTTTAGACCAAGGTTATGCTGACAAGATTAAATCCCTTTCCACCAAAATTACTATAACAAAACTAGTCATCTTCTGCTTTTAGTATTAAATTCTGCTTTATGAGCATAAAAATCAGAATGCTGGTATAATGAACACATACTCATTTTATGAATTTCATGAGTTGTACTTGTTAAGACATACTGTGGAGTTTCATCTTACTTGTAGGGGAAAGATGTTATATAGTATATGGTAAAAACAAACAAACAAACACCCCACTTACAGTTAAAATGACCTACAAAGAGCATACATAGTGGGAGCTTATTAACAACCATCTCTTAAAAGTGGTAGGTATTCTAATGTTGAAACACTCGCCCTTCGGTCCGTTTGAGCAGCTGATACAGTGGCTGACCTCTATTAAAGAGCCATGTAAAACCAAAATATAGGTTGTTGGGTTGCAAAGTTTTGCCCACTGTACAAGCTACCTGCTTGTTTGATGTGACTCCACCGTATTTATTATCAATTTTAAGAGAGAAAATGATCGTGACATTGAATATGGCTTTAAACTCAGAACATATCATTTCAAAGCTTGTGGTGAAGGCCATCTGTTTCTCTCCTCACCTGGCTTCTGGTCTTGTCCCTGCAGGTTTCTGGTTAGCTTTATGGTGGATGCAAGAGGTGGTTCCATGAGAGGAAGCCGTCACCATGGAATGAGAATCATCATTCCTCCCCGCAAGTGTACAGCCCCCACCCGAATCACCTGCCGTTTGGTAAAGAGACATAAACTGGCCAACCCACCCCCCATGGTGGAAGGAGAGGGATTAGCCAGTAGGCTGGTAGAAATGGGTCCTGCAGGGGCACAGTTTTTAGGGTAAGTTGATTTGTCAATTTTAACCTTGGCCTTCATACTACATCTTTGATTTTCTTTACCCGTAGGTAACTAGTAAAACTACTTAGCTGGACCCCATTGGTTGGGTACAACTTTTCTAGTGTCAGAGGTCACAAAACTGCGTTATTCTCTGCAATGCTATTTGGTACTTCCTTAACCTGGTGCTGGTCAAAGCTTTTACTAACCAGGAAGCATGTTATCTGCTCAGTAAGTGCCCCGACCCCTAACAGCCCCCATCGACGTCAAGGGACCATTCTCAGGGGACCTGCGGACAGATGCTGGAATTACGTCACCACATTAAAGAACTAGCTCTTTGGGGATGTGTCTCCTTAAAGATCAGTGTTCAGGCCAACCGTCTTCTGTGCGTCGCACTCTGCAGACAGGAGCTCGACGCTGAGTTCGTTTTCCGCAGTGGCACGGGGGTGCACATCAGGCAGGCTCTGTCGCGATGGCAGTTTGTTCACAATCTCCCCTTCTTGTTTCTCTTCCTGCTGCATGGATGCTATTCAGTAAACTGCATCTTCCCACCAATCCTCCCCCTGTAAATGAGGGTGAGAGCTTGGTTAGCCGAATCCTGCAGCTTGGGCCTCAAGGAACAAAATTTATTGGGTAGGATCTTTATAGACAAGATACAGAATGTGTACATTTCTTTTTTCATTTCCAGTTTCCTTCTGTCACACTCATAGTCTTCTTCTCGTCTTATTTAAGTTTTTAAAAAAATGCTTTCAGTTGATGTGTGTCACTGAAAGGGAAACGAAAAATCATAGTGGCTTGACTCAATGTAGCCCCGCTACCTATCTTGTGCTTCCCAAGCATGTGGAATTCACTGCAAGCATTCTGCTTTCATAACCTTGTGCTCTTTGTCAGTTATCATTTTTTTATTTGAAATGTTTCCAGTGCAGATGATATTTTTTAGGACGAGCTGAGAGTCTTTAATTTTAACTCAGTGACAGAGAAGGCATTTTGCAGGTTTTGAATCACCTCTTGCTGTAAATGATACGAATAATTATATAGAGAGAAATGTCTACAGACAAGTGAGGCGCAATTTTAAAATAGGGACTTTGGCGCTCTCGGTAATCCTTATTGGCATGGGGAAGGAAATGTTATCAATCAGTTAGTTGATTTTGAAAATGTTTTGAGACAGGGAATTGAAAGTTAACTAAAGAGGCTGCAGATAGAGAGTACTCTATAAAGTGATTAAATTATTTTGTTTTGTTTTCTTAAAGCTGAAGTGTGTTGGTATTTGTCGCTTGTTTGCTCGTCTGTTTGATTGATGTTGTTGCCTTGGCAGTTTGCATGAAAACACCTGTTATGAAAAGTTATGCTTGGCTTTCACTTTGGTCAAAGACCCCTGTTCATATCTTCTCCGAATTGTTGAATGTCATACACAAAACACATTTTTAAAATATTTATAGAGACAGTATCTGATACATTCACCTGCAAAGATTGTATCTTATTCTTACACCTCCCCCCCAAAAAAGATTTAATACCCAATTATAATATAGTAAAACACTGTGATTAAACACCCTCACATTTTGGGATTATTAACAGTCTTAGCCATAGTTGATGTTGTCTCTACCTATCAAGGAATAAATGCATTTTATAATTAATTTTTAACTGTCCTTAATTTGGATCATTATTTTGCCAAAAGAAACTTGATCAGATTCATGGGTCCCCATGTTGAGAGAATGCTTTCCTACTCAGTCAGGTTTTTCTATCTATTTTTACCGGTCAGCACTATGATGACTAGTTCCTCTTTATGCTCTCGGTGTAAGCCTGCCTCTGCTCTCGCTGTGTGTACACGAACTCTTAGGTGAAGACGTGAGGTGACATACAACCTCTGTAGGAAAGTAATGATACTGTCTACTTAAATGTCATAAAATAAAGCTGCACAATCCAACCACATAAGCTGTGCGTGATTGTGGTCGGCTTAATTCCATGAATCCTTTTCTAGTGCTTATGCTAACTTAAAATTGAACCAGTGAGTTTCCCGTGGCTTGATTGGCTACCTTCAATTTGCAGCCAGTCTTGCACGTTGCCTTGGGCAAAAGGACACTCAATCCTCAGTATATCAGTGAGTGGTGACTTCAACCGAGTCCTTTTTCCGAGAGCTTGACTATTCATTCTACCAGAGGTTCTACCGAGCCGGGAAAGCATTCCCATTTTACTCATTGGAAATTGGAGAAACTATACCTGAAAGTTGTGGCAAGAGTTCCAGAGAGCAGGTTATTAGACTGATTTCTTGCTGAGGGGGAAGGAAACAAGCACAAATTATAGGAGTAGCCTTTCAAAATAGGAAATGTATAGTATTTGTGAAATAAATTACTGTGTCCTTTTAAATCATTAGCATTTTATATACTATCAAAATCTCTATCCTTAAAAAGGGGGGGGGGCAACTTTCTATCTACCTGATGGTCAATTCTAGTAATTTTCTACTCCTTGATTCAGAATTCTTTTTTGTACGTGCTGAATACTTTCCCTGCACAAATCCAGTGCGTCTCAAAGAGTTGTTTGCGAATGGGTGAATGATGGCATGCTCTCAGGCTTCTAACACTTATTATTTAATTAGCAAATGATTCTGCAGCTTTGAAATCATCCCCAACCTTAGTGGCACCTCTTATTTTCAAGTGAATAATGTTACTGAGATGCTTTGTTAAGAATGCTACTATGCGTATACTTCATTAGATACCAAAATAATGTGGATTTTTTTTCCAGCCCCGTCATAGTGGAAATCCCTCACTTTGGGTCAATGAGAGGAAACGAGAGAGAGCTCATTGTTCTTCGCAGTGAAAATGGCGAAACGTGGAAGGAGCATCAATTTGACAGTAAAAATGAAGACTTAACCGAATTACTGAATGGCATGGATGAAGGTAAGGAAGGTGACGCCTCGTCTCTGTCCTTCGGCAGAAATCACGGGAATGGACAAATCGTGGGGACGGAAAGAAACGGAGTCTGAATTGCACGCGTTCGTGTTGAACGCTCAGACGGGCTCCTCAGCACTTTCCCTGCCTGTCTCCTCTACCAAAGGCACGGGGTTCCGTTTCACCTAACCACCTTTTTAATTGGGTTTGTCCTTTACAATTCAAGTGCACCAATGTTCTGGTGACTCTCTCGGTCTCTCGTCTTACGTGTGAATTTTAACAAAATCCAGTGTTAGCTAAGGAGGGAGTGATGATTTCGTGGGAGTTAGGCAAAAGGTGAAGGCATTCCTGAGAAAAGACATTCACATTTTGTTTCCGGGGTTATTATTCCCGAATCTTTTATTTTATCCGGCTCCATTGTCTCCCAGAAGAACCAACTGGGAACATTTGTCTCCCGTGCTGTCAACGTGGTATCGGGAGGGACGAGCCCAGGGAGAAGAGCATCATGTCTGGTAAAGTAGAGGCTCATGGGAAAAAAGGGCAGACCCTCCACAAGATGGATTGCCATGGGCTGCAACAAGGGGTGCAAGAGCAGAAGTTTAAGGGTGGCCCAGGAGTGGCCGTCATTCATTCTGTTGTACGTGGGGTCACTCTGGATGGGAACCAACTGGATGTCGTACCTAACAGCAGCAGCGCAACCGGAGGAGCTGAATGTTCATTTTGCTATGTTTCTATTCGTTTTCCGTTTTTCACTTTGAGTACACATGATAGCCTATAGAAGTAGAACTAGAATTTTTAAAAATAATAGCTATGGAGTAGACTTTAGATTTCATGCTAACTTGTTTCCATTCTGTTCGTCACAAATCATTACAAAGAGAAATCAGCCAGTTCAGAAAAATGATGCCCAAACACTGCTCGACTGAGAACCCTAACCCTCTGTCCTGGATTCTGTGGTTATCTTAGAACTAGTCGGAGAGTTTCTTTGCTACATTTTTAAAGACCAGATAAACGTTGGTTCCCTTCTAGAGAATTAAGGCGAAATAGGAATACTTCAGGTTTAAAGAACCAGGCCCTCGAGGCTACTGGAACAAAGACGAGGGCCAGATTTTCCAAGAAAACAGGATATTCTTCATCGCTTCCATTTTGAAATGATACAAATGAAGGAAGCACTGCACATATTTTGATAACTGAAGCTCAGGCTTCTACCAAGTCCAACCGGATTTACCACCAGCCTCCCCCTCCAGGGGCCCTTTCCCCCTTTCTCGAACATGCCAGTTCCCCAAAAGAGAGGCAAAAATAAAAACCGATCTTAGGGGGGGAAAAAAACAAAAATTAATCCTTTCTTCCTTGAAAATCCAGCCAATCAGAGTTCTAATTGGGAGAAGTTATAAGTACAATTTAGGAGATTTCATGCTTTTGTTATTCTACCCTCTGTTCCCCTCCCGTTTTCTGTTGTTAGAAATCTGTTTATTAACAAGATAAAAGCAGTACTTAGAATGAACCAGTGACCACCTTAAAACGCAAGATAGCCTTTAAGGGAGGGAAGATTGAACTGTGCTCTCACTGTTCCAAGCAGCCTCTTTGATTTCACTAGTTTATAGTGTCACTTTGTCGTCTTCGGCAACCAACTCTTTATCATGCCTGTTGTGCTTTCTGTTTTCGCCGGTTTTCCTCTTCACCCCTCTTTTCCATGGACGAATTCAGCACACTTCTTTTATAACTACTAGTCCTATTGCATGCGCTAATCTGGAAATTTAAAAACCCTTACTAAAGAGTTGTAAGGCTTACGAAAACCGCATTGTTGTAAAGATTGGTCTATGGCTCTCAGCATTTCCATGCGCACAGTAACACTAACTCCTAGGAAAGCTGAGTGTAAGGTCAGATCAGTTGCTCCGCGTACTGCGGCAGTTAAGATCGTGATCTGTGGAAGTCACGGAGACTGGAATGCCTGTCTTGGCTCCCACACTTAGCAGCTGCATATCTAAGCACTCTGTCTTTCTAAACCTTGGTTTATCTGACTCATGAGGCGAATAGTATTGTGTGTCGTATAGGGTGATCATGGAGGAGTAGGGGGGCTACTTTATGTGAGGTGCTCAGTCTCACGCCTACTCTTAAGAATTCCTTGATCAAGGTCAGTCATAGTCCTGGATGCTGTCTTCCATTTTGCAAGCAGTGGCTCCTGGCTGAGAGGGCAGGTGACAGCTGAAGTCCTGCCTCCTCCACTTGCCCAACTGCCCTGACACTGGCTGGACAGTTCCAGGGCAGAGGGGGGCTCCTCTCTAATCTGCGCAGCACTGCTACCTGGTGGCTGAGCCCTGGACCTGCAGCGCTGTGCCCCCTGGAAATAACAACTCACAGCCATGGCGTTGATGCCCCATCATGGCGAACCTGTAAGACGGAGTAGAGGCCTGGCCCTTGTCTATAAAGCCCCAGCTAGCGCCAGAGCTGGCTGGTACTCTTGGACTGCTGACTTTGCAGATGGCAGCCCAATGCCCAACCAGTATGGCACCAGGGTATCTCGTCTACCCTAAATAGATAGCTTTTAAACTAATTCGTATATATATGATAGATATTTTTAATTATCACACACTTACTGAGCCCCTCGTTTATAACAGATACTGCCTCACTGGCAGTGCTCGTTCTAAACTCATAATAACAAGTGCCTAGAAACCCATCTGAGATGACCTCCAAAAGAGGACTAATGAAACCTCATTCTGATCTAGCTAAACTAGGAAGTCACCAGAAATGCTTTTATTATCAAACAAACAGAGGCATGCTTATGAAGTGATGGAAATGAAATGTTTAATATGCATAAGCTTGGAGATATATAGTCTCATACATGTATGTGTGGTGTGTGTATGTATATGTATATGTATTTATATATACATGCATATATATGTTGTTGCTATCAGGTACCCTAGTGTCAGTTCTGATTTGTGTTGTTACCAGGTGCCATCAAGTGGGATCCCCTGGATACCCTTTGTTAACTCCAGTTGGGCTCGTAGTATCCCTGATCACAACTGATGGTATACTCAGCCCATCACCCCCAACGAATCAGGACAGAATAGTAGGTCTAGAATTCTGAATTCTGGACTTCTGATCTCCAAACTAGCTGCCTTTCCTTCTGCAACAACCTTTACTTCTGTCTCTTCTCTAATGCAGGATGCTTTGTGTCTGAAAGCACTTCATGTAGAATAAAAATGTCACATGATTATCAGTTGCAGTTTAAAATTTCCATTATTATCCATATAATTTCCTGTCCTGTTGAGTCTCTATGAGCCAGCATTGACTCGATGGCAGTGAGGGTGTGTTTTATTATTATATAAGTACTCCCCTCCCCTTATGACTCAAAAGGATATGATCTGCATTCAGGGGGGGGGGAAATTACAGTTGTAAAAGAAGGTGGAATTGAGTGTTATTTCAATGACTAGCATGTCCTGGCAAAAGCATCAAGATTATACCAGTGAAGTGGCCCCCATTAGCAAGGCTTCATCCTCAGAGGAGGCTAGCATGACACAGGAGATACATGGTCTAGGTATGAGGGACCTGCGGCTGCCACCAGTGTCATGTGGCAGCAACAACCTTTGCCTTTGGCAGCAGGTATCTGCCTTGTCTTACAACTTGCCAATTCATTTGTCCTAAGCAGAGAAAGAGACATTGCTAAAAATAGATATTATAATAATAACATGAACATTCATCTTCCTCGCGCACGCACACACAAAATAAGAATCACCCGAAGGTGCACCAAAATGAATCCACTCTGTAAGTTTTGTTAAACTTTTACTTAGGCAAACCTAAAAGTCGTAATCACAGACTTGAATTAAACATGTTTAAAGTTATGTCTTCAAAGTCAGACTCCAAAGAGTGTTTGGCGGTTATGCTGGTCCTGGGAAGAAAAAGGAGTAGAAGAATCCTTCCTTGTTGTTGTCAGGCACCGTCTGATCGTCTCGCCCATGGCGACACTCCGCACAACAGGAAGAAACACGGCCCTGGTGCTGCGCCCTCCCAACTGTCCCGATGCCTGAGCCCAGTGTGGCAGCCGCTGTGTCAGTCCATCTCCTTGAGGGCCTGCCTCTCCTCACTGCCCCTCTGCTCCACCCAACATGCTGTCCTTCTCCAGGGACCGATCGCTCCTGACACCGTGTCCTCGGGTCTTTAAATGAGAAGTCACAAACGCTGCAGCCTGAGCTGTCAGTAGAGTAGCCCCGGTCACAGGTGACCATCTGGGGCTCGAAATGAGCTCACTGAAAACCGCACTGCGAGGGTGAAACACACCACAGTTTGAAGACTTAATACACACAAAAGTCAGTGCTTTTACACGCCGTGTTGAAGAGGTACTGTTCTAGATGTACTCAGTTAAATAAGCTATATTATTAAAATAAACTTTATTTGTGAGAAAAATGTAAATGACATAGCTGCCTTCCATTATATTTCTGGTAGAAGGTGCTTCTCTGGATAGTCTAGACCAGGGGACCTCAAACTTTTTAAACGAGGCCAGTTCACTGTCCCTCAGACCACTGGAGGGCCAGACTATGGCTTAAAAAAAAAAAACTATGAACAAATTCCTATGCACAGTGCACAGATCTTATTTTGAAGTAAAAAAACAAACGGGGCAAAAACACCCGGCGGGCCAGATAAATGTCCTCGGCGGGGCCGCAGTTTGAGAACCCCTGGTCTAGACTGTTTTACATGCTCTCATTGGTTTGGAATAAAACTCATTGCTACTCAAGTAGTACACAGCAGACTGAGGACGCATGAATTAGGCTGTAGCGCACTTCAATCTCACTGACTGTCTAGAACAAAACGTGGCTGCAGTTCTCTGGACTTAATTTTACAATTAAACACTCAAGCAGACGTCCAGTTGGACTCAGGGGCTGCCTGGACGACACAGGAGGACGAAGCGCTAGGGTTTCCAGGACAGTAAGTGCACCTCTAGGGAAGCAGACAGCCCCTTATTTCCCTGCAGAGCAGCTGTGGATTTGAACTGCCCACCTTGTAGTTAGGGCCCA